CTAATATTCTTTTTTTATAACTAGCCTGGGAGAAAAAGATTTTATTATTTTTTATAATTAATTAGCTTCCCTTTTATTTAATTAAGTATCTAATATTTATAAGTTTAATTAAAATAGTCTATAATATATTTAATATGTTATAAATCCTATCTATAATAATAATCTGTTATCGGCTAGAAATATTAGTTAAAGATTAATAATAAAAGATCCTTAGGATACTTCCTTCAGGTTTAAAGATATTAATTATACTTAATAATTAGATATCTTTATTTTCCCAGGTATTTCTAGCTATAATTAGCTACTTTATTAATGCTAATTAAATATATCAAGAAGTATTTCTTGGCTTTAAACCTTTTTATAAAGTATATACTAGTTTAAATATAAATAGTATTATTCTTGAAACACTGAATAATCATTAGATTTAAGATTAAATTTTTAGATTAACTAGTGATAATATATTAAATAATAAAATATTAGCTAATTTTCTCTAACAGGCTTTATTTAATAATATTAATATTATTTAAACTCCTTATTTTATTTATATTATTTAATTTAGTCTAAATTAGCTTCTTGACTGTCTCAGAGTAATTTTATAAAATAATATTATAAAAATAAAATAGACTGATTAGCTGTTATCTTTAACTAAGATAAATATATAGTATTAGAAGTATAAAGTTTTTTATACCTTGAATAAGGTCTACTCTCTAGTAATTTATATCTACAGAAGCCCTTCACGCCAGAAAATATTTAATAATTTTTAAATGAATAATTTTAAGCTTTTACTAATCTAAAATATAAAAATTTAATAGAATTTAATCTTTTTTATATTTTATCACGCGAAATAATTCTATAATATCTTTATATAATTTTGTGCGGACTATAATTACAAAAAAATAATATTAAATAATAAGGAGTAATATTAAATTAACTATCTTTTTTATATTACTAAGCTGTTTTTTCTTTATATAATTAAATTATTAAAAACTTAAGAAATTATAATATATTTTATTTTTAAAATTTATAATATACTTTTTAAATATTTTAAAAAACTAATAAAGCAGCTCCGGCAGAAGTATATTTTATAAAAAAAATAGATATTTAATTTTTTTAAAGCTGGTTAATTAAAGCTTAATAAGTATTACTTATAAACAGATAAAATTAAACTATATATCTATATAATTAGTATAATGCTTACTTTTAATAATAAGTTTTAATTTTTCTTATCTAATAACTAGAATAAATAATAATATAAATTTTACCAGATATCTTTCTAAGAAGCTCTGATTTTTTATTAAAAATATCTCTTTATTATTTAAAACTTTATTATTTTTTTTATTATAGCCAGACCAAGCTTAAGGCTTAAAAAAATATTAAATAAGTATAAACTATAGCTAAAGCTAGTAAGGGATAAAATAACTTAATATTTTAATAGTAATATATTAAATATATTATTTTTCTTAATTATATACTAATATCCTTAAAAATATTATTAATATAGAGCCCCTTTAATTTTAGAAAAATAATAAATATTAATTTTTAGCTATTATAGCCCTTACACGGGATATTCTTTTTATTTTAGTAATAAGTGCTAGTATTAAATAACTTTTTAATACTACTTGAGATATCTGTTATTATTACCGCGGTCGGATGAAGTCTGAGATAATTAAAAAAATTATAATATTTTTTTATATATTAAGATTTAATTTTAAAGAATAAGAGGCAGAATTTCTTAAAGAATTTTTTTTTATTTATAAAATAGAGGCAGCAAAAGAAGAGAAGAATAAAAATTTAAAGAAGATTAAGATAAAATTAATTAATAATACTAAGAAGTAAGAAAAGAAAAAAATAATAATAATATAAAGCTATATAAAGCCTGAGTTACCAGAGAATATTATATAAATATAAGTTTTAGAAAGATTCAGAAAAAGGAAGAATAAAAAAAATAATAAATTTAAATATTATTAATATATTAAATTATTACTTTTTAAATAATATTTTAATAATTAATTTTTACACGCTAACTGCTTCAGTAAGTAAGAATATAAGATATAACCAGGTAAAATAAATATTATAATAAGTTAATAATTATTTTTTAAGAGAAATAATATAAGAGAAATACTTAATATTATAACTAAAAAATATATAAGTTATATAGTCATAAGATCAGAGTATATTTATACTATTTAGCCTAGTTTAGGGGCCTATTTAGGCCTTATCTAATAGCCGTGGGCCCCTGGGCTCAGCCCATAGCTTATTATGGGCCCTAAAACCTGGCCTAAAGCCCAGCCCACTTGTGGGCTGGGTTGGGTTGGGCTTGGGCTTTCGTGGGCTCTGATGAAGTCTAATGATCTCTTTTAAGATTAATAAGGTTAAATACTGAAGAAGCGGAATAACAACAGTATAGAATAACCATGTTAGTCAATACAGGAAGGCAAACAGACCATCAATGCAACTAGTGCGGCAACAAACACCAAGGGAATGTTATCAGGTAACAGTAGCAGGATACATTAATACGAGACGGGTCAATATTACTATAAAGCAAAAAGCAGAACAGTTTAGAACTAATCAAAGATAATAGAGTGTATACAAAGCACAAGAAGAAAATTAAGCATTATTCATCACTGTGTTCAAGAGCGCAGGTCTATTGACCATAGTGGGTTCGGCTCTACAGAGAGAAAACCAAAATAATAATAATAATAAAATAGAGCAATAATACCGAACCGTATGAGAATTCTGCCCAATATTAGGCGGTTGCTCATACCCTTGATGGCATTCAACAACTAGTAACTCTTTGTGTCCAACCTTTTCTTTCTCCCTAAAAGTGGCATTACGAGCTAGATATATCTTGTATCTTTACGAAAGTTGAATACAGTGATTAGAAACACATTACAGTAGATGCAATCAGCTAACTAATCAACCAGGTACGCTAGATAGTTCATGATAGCATTTTTAATTAACTATTATTAATGTTATCTAATCCTAGAGTTAATATAGTTAATAAGACTGGGCAATTATTACGACACACTTTTCTATATAGTCTTATTAAACAGTAGACCACTATAGCAAACTAGGATTTGCAATCTAGCTCTTGGGAGTGTGTTTGCTCATAATAACTTAAATTGAGTTTTTACGGCTAGTCTCCACTATCCTAAGAACTTACCTAGATAACGCAGGAGCCAGATTACTCTGGAGAACAGATATAATTATCTCAAAATCCGGTCGGGTAATCCGATGAGCCGGATTAGCCTCCTGCGGCCACGGATGTGTGATCGAGAAATCACGTGATAAAAACATTAGCCAAGTTTTCTTGAGCCCCTAGCAATCGGGATGTTGCGCGAGAGCAGCCTCACTGAGAGCGAGTATTTATAGTATGACGGATGCCCTCTCTCTCCAGTAAGTCCTAAACTAACTAAATATTTTAACAGAATTTTACTTAGCTTCTCGGTTCCAGAATATTCTAATCGCAACTATTATTAGTTGAGGTGGGAAAGGAGTATATCTAATTATGGGTTTATTTAGTAATTTTAGAACACTTTTTAACTATGTTAATATTAGAGTTAGATACTCCCCCGGACATATAAGATGAATAATATCTTCTCCTAAAATATATTAACCCGGATATCTTTGCTTAGTGCTGCGAGTATATCTATACAGGGAACTACTTATTTAGTTTTTTACCAGGCCAGAGGTTAATATAAAAATAATTAATTAGTTTGCAAAATCTTAGATTTAATAATCTATTTACAGTCATGATCCCTCTGTATTAGATTAAGAGATTTCCCCTTTCTGATCTAGCTAATCTTATTAACTATTCTCATATTAATTTCTTTATAAGCAAGTACTAGTAAGAACTACTGCGTCTGCTTTCTGCTAAAAAACTCTGAGATTTTATTTTAAGCCTATATTTCTCCGCTAGTTATACCGATAAACTGCTCCAGTATTTTATAAAAAGGGCTTGATTATATATTCTTCCAGAAAAAACACCCTTTTAATAAAAAGATAATATAACTTAATAGATTAATTTACTTCTTTAACACCAGTAATCTGCTAGTCTTATTTATAACTATCTTCTAAACTATTTAAAAGTTAAGTATCTATAATTTATTCTGCATAACTTATTAGTATATCCTTGAAATACAATTAGACCTATATATAGAATAGTACACGCGCTACAAATTTAAGAAACAAAACAAAAAGCTCGGCTATACATCCATCGGATCAGGAGTGTTTTAATACAAACATGCTGGAGACAACTTAGCCTTCACTATTAAGGGCCTACACTATACTTATCTACTCTAGTGGGTCTATAATGCCAAGCCGAAGGGAATTGTAGGACTGAAAAGATTGGCTAGCCGACATATTCTCTACCCTATTGTAGATCCGTGTATTTTCTAATACCTTAGTATCTCCCCAGGTCTCTTGCAAGAAATTATTCCAATCTATCTAAACTCTCTATTATATCCTAAGCAGACCAGAAATACTGATTCCACAAGACTTATGCTGTCATATTGTTTATTGTACTGTATATAAATATATTACATGGGAGTGCAAAGCCAGCTTCACCGCCTTATACTCTCTGCTTTATTTGGGCTTAGATGATAACTCCCACAGGTAGCCTTTAGCCTCCCAAGAATTTACCGATGGTTCTGGGAGCGGCTCGGACCTTCCAGCAGGATAGAGTTCAATTTATTAGATCCCCCGACCGGATTTTAAGATCAGTACAAATATTCTTCAGAGTAATTTAGTTTCTACATAATACGGCTAAATTCTCAGGAGGGTAGAGGCTAGCCGTGGGAGCTCAATCTGAGTTTTCATGAGCGAAAACACCCTCAAGAACTAAGCTGTATGCTCGAAACGGGTCTTAAGTTGCCGTGGTGGCTTGCTAAACAGACCACGTAGAAAGATATGCCCGCGATTTTTGCCCCATCGGCTTGTTAAAGAAAAGTTGCCTCGAGCGTATGTGCAACTTGTAAACTAATTCCCCACCTTTCCATTGAAGGGTCAGACGAACAGCGGTTCAGTCAATTTGAGGATAGGCTTATTACAGAGCTTGGTGAATTCTTGGTTTTACCATTTCTAGTTCTTGTCAAGCGAATAAAACTAATTTCTTCATTAGGAGCTCTGTCAAAATTGCTTTTTCTGCATGAGTCATTTGCGGATAGCTGGACAGGAATAATCTCAATTTGGTAGATGCTGAATTGTCAACAGCGAAGGTAAAAGTTCAGTAGTTCTTTAACTAGAGATGAACAAAGTTATCTATTTCAAGACCTTTAATGGTATCGTTTAACCCACCGAAAAGCGCTATGAATGTGGAGTCAAAGCAATTGTGCCGGTATTTAGAACGACCCCCTCCCGGACCGTACCACTCTGGCGACTTAAATGATAGCACGCTTTGCACAAGGACTCTATATCCTAAGCCTGGGAAAGGAGCTGCGGGCCCTGGTGAAAGCAGAGCATTCAGCTGCATCTGCTTTGTCAGAGCTCCATACATGATTGAACTGCATTCAAAGCCACACCCTTTACTGCCGTTTTGGAGTTGATCACGTATATCTTGAAGTTGGAGAAGCAGGCCAGTGATCTCTTCCTGTCTTCGATCATACATGGACCCTGCAATCTAATTTAGCTAAGCATATTTGAGGATTCGTGTGCCCATACTTATGATATTATCGGGGATTGGGAGCCCGAGATTCTCAATCCAGTCGTTACTCTGTGACATGGCGATTGCGGTAACTTTTTCGAATTCTGCAGGGAGGCGGAAATACCAGGCAACCCATAACCAGAGTATTAGGTTTCTAGAATATGTTGAGGGGATAATTTCATCTAAGCTGTTGATCCATGTAGACACTACAAGATCAATAGCTTCCCTACAATCGTAGTAGTCGGCCAAAACAGCAATTTTCGCGAGCATCTCAAGTGTAAGTTTTCGAGGTACGTCATAGGACTGGCAATGTATAATGCGAAGCATAACCAAGAGGGCCTCGGTATCCCAGCTTTGTGCAGTTATTTCAACTGAGCCTTCTTGTAGATAAGCGATGCCTTCTTTCCAACTACCAGTGAGTATCTTTTTAAAAACTGATGAGGCGAGTATTAAATGCTTCGCGGAGACTTGGATGTGGATGCAATTTTCCTCCGGCTGTCCCGCTCTTTCGGAATCAGATTCTTTAGCAAATTCATCGGCAGGCTCTTCCGTGTGTCCATCAACGCGTTCTTCGGCAGCGGATCCTTCGGCAGCAGGCCCTTCGGCAGCAGGCCCTTCGGTAGTGGGTTCTTCAGCTGCAGGCTCTCCTACTGATGGTTGAGTAAGTACAGACAGATTTCTATTTTTTTCCCTCCTTCTGTTTGGGACTCCGCGTGCGCTCATCTCCCGAATTTCTAGTCTCTTTTGCGGGGAGTATGGATATCATCACTTGGTCCGGGAAGGGTAAAGGTGGAATCGTTGTTGGACATACCTTCACTCATGTCTGCAAAAGGAGCATTTGGGCTTCTCAATATTATAATAACCTCGCCGTTCGGGTCAATAATATGAGTTGCTCGGTCCATGATAGTTGCGCGTTGCGGAATCTCAATGCTCAAAACTATCTTGCTTGGTAAGGGTGCAAGAATGAAGATAAGTTTGGAGATAAGTACTTTGATATCCTTTTCCTGCGAGTGAGATGTGGCGGTCTTTGATTAGCATTGATGATGACAGTCTCACATATACGACGTGGTCATCGGTGCATCAATTCGCAGCTGAATGCGGGCCGTGTCTAGCAATAATTGGCTCGATTCGCTGTCAGTACATAACCAAAGGCTTCAGGCTGGATAAATTGTGCTTAATGTGAAGACTACTAGCAAACACATACATGCACAACATAGATGGCACAGCCGCTATTAGGATATACAAGTTACTTCAAGGCCCGTACTCGTCTGACTACCTTTGAATCTCTTGGACAAAGCGACAAGCCTACATACGCTATACAAATAGATCCTTGTCAACCAGGAGCGGTTAACTAATCGGAGGGAGGCTGCGTCACTTGATCCAACAGACTATTACTATACCGCTCGAGTCAGACCACTACCTGGCAAGAACCACAGCTATGCCCTCACCACAAGGATCCAGTGTATCCGTGGCCATTATCTTGATTTATCGGTCGTGGCACTCAAAGATTGGTCTACGCGAGTAGTCAGCCTTGTTCCCATGTGTGTGAAGCGAGCTGAAGCGGGTTTTCTGTTATCTGTCGCTAGCCTTTGCGCTGATCTGTTGCTATGGGTTCTCGATATTGGCAAAGATCACGAATTAACAGCCTTGTCCAGAAAGCCTTGGGACTGTGTTACCAGAGATTACTTCGTGGTGTACGTTGATTGGCTTCTGTACTTGCAATAATGCAGTCATGTTACTGTCTTCTTTGGGCTCATTGCATATTAGGCTGCAAAAATTATTGCGGTCGACCCGAAAGCTTTGACGCAGAATCCTGGTGCGGAGGGTGGTGATGTAATAATTTTCAACGGGGTTCATTATCCATGGGTTTACCCCGCCTTGTCCAGTTGAAGCACATATTACAGATCTTGTGAGCACAGAACGCGGGGTATGCTCAAATACTTGGGGCTTATCCTGTTACGACGTCCCTAAACCCCTGAGTCTATTCTTTTCTGTTCCATTTCTGTCGAGAAAAACCCTATATATACGGCAAACTACATTCCGCAGAGATCATGTCAACAAGTGGGAACGATAGACATGTTATGGGCGGTCACGACAAGTCTACTACCTACACAGGAGATTTATCCGCTAGTTTAAAGAGGTTAGTTCTTAGGCTGCAAAAAAAAATATATATATATATATATATAACAGTCTTAGTTGTTTTCTGTCATCGGCATTCTCAGACCTGACTATTCACACCAAAGACCAGGAGTTTAAAGTCCATCGACTAGTGATCTGTGGACAGTCAGAGTATTTCTCTAGATTGTACCAGGGAGATTGGATGGTAGGCATACAGTTGTGCCCCGCAAGCTCAACACTAATGTAAACAGGAAACGACTGAAAATGCTGTACACCTTGAAGAGGATGATCCGCGCGCTATAGAAGCAATGATTCACTTCATGTACGGATTTGAATACGACAGCAGTGGTAGCCAACACGGCCGTATTTCCCCAATGCTGTTTAATATCAGAGTTTATCAAATTGCGGACAAATATGTTGTTCCACAACTCAAACAGCTAGCGAAAGAAAAATTCGAGATTGTCCTCAAGGCGTGTTGGCAGATGGACGACTTTCCTACAGCCATTGCAGAGGGATATGGATGTACTCCAAAAGAAGATCGAGGTCTTCGAGATCCACTTGTCAAGATATCCCATGAACATATTACCCAATTATTAGCAAAAGATGATTTTCAAACTGCCTTGGAAGAAACAACGGGTTTTGCTGCCGATCTTGCCCAAGGTTTGACTCGAACAGTGGACAAAGATCCAACGCTGACAAAATACCGCTGCCCTAGTTGCGGTAACGAATGGCGTCTAGGGATTGTCAACGGTGGGCCGATGAGTCGCTGCCCTTGTTGTGGGAGCTCTAATTCCTGGAGCAAGCATATTGTTCGTGATTGACTGGGGATTTTCCTGCGTACAAGTCTATCTGGATTGGGTTATTTTTGTACCGAAATTAGCCCTCTTTAAGGGCAAGATTCTTATCTAATTGTTTGCAATCGAGAATATTAAAGCGAAACGAGCGTTAGTGCCTTCTGATAAAGATATGAGTTGTAATTCTATCCCAATTTACAAATGGACAAAGAATGCAAGTCTCACGTTTATAACTATGTAGTAAAGTACAGATGAAGAAAGGCACTGTCGTCGGGTAAGAGAAACAGTATGCATCAAGGTACAAGGCGGATCAATAGTACCATAGAGCAGTAAATGAGAATAATCAAAAAATTGATCTCGCAATAAGATAGAAAAAAACTGCTTAAGGAAGAAGTGCGTGAGGATCTTAAGTGGTCAAAATCCAAATATGGTCGTCATATTGGACCAAGAGCAGACAATGACCGACGTGAGACGATCCCGTGCCTTTTCTGCGCATGATTCATTACATGCATCTTATGTTCTAACTCCTCGTTACAGATATTGCATGTAATGCGCATGTCCTTAGGGAAGCGCTTAACGTGCTTATTAATAAAGTACCGGCTGAGAGATCCCGGAATACTATGTTTTCTAAATTATTCTGTTACTAGGAGCTTAGGATTTGGAATATAGAGAAAGTAGATTATAAGTCTTTTATCCGGAGACTTGACGCAGACTGATAAAACTGCTGACTAAAATTCTGTTTTATTTTTAATTACTAAATATAGTTCTTGTCGCTTTGAAGAGGGCATAAATAATAATATATTATTAGCACGCTATTTCTGGGAAATAGGCGGCTGTCTTGTAGGCGACCCTTTTTCCACATTATAGAAAGTAATAATTGCATAAATCGCGGAAATTTAACACTGATATTCCTTCTCAACTAGACCTTGACACAACCCGCGGTTTACCTGTTTTGGGTTATCTAAAACCCGCCAAGAATGGGTTTTAGGTCTCTCACGAAAACCCGCAGGTTGGGTTTTAGGTTTATACTTTAACCTGTAGGTTTTTCTTGGGTATCTATGGGTTTATAAATAATATAAATATATTAGGGTATATAACAAGCATTATTTATATAATTTAGGGCTATATTTTTAAGTAATTTACTTATAAGTATAATATATTTTATAACTTATTTTAAGGACTATATTAAAAAAGAATTTATAAATTAATTTAATAATTTTTTAGATTTTACTTAATACTTAAAAAAATTATTTTATTATAAATATTTCTAGCTTTTTTTTAATAGCCTTTATAATAGCTTAAAAAAACTAGGGCTTCTCTTTTTTTCATACTTATAATTATAATTAAACTAGGTTATTAGCTATATAGTATCTGCTACTTTTATAGACCTAAATATTACTTTATTTTTTATTATTATTAATTAGCTTAAATTCCTTCTTAAAAAAATATATATCTTTTTTTTTAATTAAATTTTAGCTTTTATTTAGTCAGATAAATTTTATAAAACTTATATTTTTTTATTTTAATCTTAAATTTAATTATATACTTCTAAAGTATAAATTCTTAAATTATACTTATATTAAGTAAGTCTCAGCAATAATAACAGATATTATATATATAATTAAAAAAATACTTAACGCCTGCTCCAGTAGCAGAGATAAAAAGAATATTATATATAAAAATTATAAAGACTAGAAATTAGTATTAGTACTCTTTTTACTATTTATAGATACTTATTAACTTTATTAAACCTTTTAAAATTAATAATATAATTAATAAGAGGTATAAAGGATATACTAAACTTAATATATTAAATAAATTTATTATAATTATTTTAAGACTTAATTCTTTAATAAATTATAAAATTAAGAAATATTTTAACTTTAATTTTAATATTTAATTATATAAGAGCCTTTTTTATTCTTTTTATAAACTATTATTAATAAAGTTTAAAAAAGTTATAAAAGCTCTACTTATAATAATTAATTTAATTTTCTTTATTCTCAGCCCAGTCCTTAAAGAACTAAAGCTTATTTTAAGAAATAAGGATTATTTTAATTATAAAAATATTATTATAGATCTGGTCTATCTAAAAATAGTAAAATAAAAGCTTATTTTTTATAATATAAAAGGTAATTAATATTACTTTTTTTTACAGGACTTTCTTTCGCTAAAACTAATAAATTAATTTCTTAAAGTAATTAAAAAGCATATTATAAATATTAAAAATAAAATAAATAATTATATTCTTTAATTTTGAAAAAACTATAATAAACTTAAAAAATAGTTAAGTAATCTAAAATAAATAATTAATTTAGCACTAGTGCTTGTGATTAAGTATAAAATAAGAAAGTCTATATTATAAGTAAAATTAATTAAATATTAATCAGAGGTATTTTATATATTAAAATATTAAAAATATTAAGTTTTAGTATATATGAATATCTTAAATAAATATAAGCTTATATATATCTGGTTATAATTTATAAAATTAATTTTAATATTATAGATTATTATTAATATATATAGTAAAGTATTAGATCTAAAGGAGGTTAGTAAAATAATTTTAAATAAAAATAATAATTAACTTTATTAAATATTTTAATAATTTCCCTTTTTTTATACTAAAAATAAATTAATCTAATATCTTCCTATCCCTTTTTAATAATATTAATTTTTAGAACTATTTTTATTTCTCTAAGTAGCTTTTTAAGACTTAGCTAGATAATATAAATAAAATATAAAATATAAATTATAATTATATTCTTATTTAGCTCAAGTACTTTAAGATAGTCTTGGATATTTGCTATTAGAATATTATTATTAAATATATTATCTGTTATAATTATAAGAATATAGTCTATAAGTTAATATTTTTTTAAAAGATCTATAATTATAATACTTAGGTTAATCCCTAAGTGCGTCCCATAAAGTAGCTTAAAACTAAAGAGTATCTTTTTATAGTTTTATTGATTATTAATAAAATATATAGTAATAGTTATAAATATATGTCAAGGTGCGGGCTGGCGGGTTGGTAGAGTTGGTGCAGCAGGGGCAGGCAGGGCAGGTGGTCTGGCTAGATCAGGCGGGCTAGGTTCACAAGGTCTTTAATTATTACTACAGTCATGCTATATACAAGATAATAGATAAGACATAGCTTAGGGAGCTATAACAGGATCTCTGGTGTTCAGGCTTTTAAGCGGTCAGGGGCTCAGGATCGGGGACAGGTTCTTCCGGCTTGGCGGTTCCATCTGGTTCTGGTGGGCTTGGCAGTGCCTTCAGGTCTGCACCGTGACAATATATCTATAAACGAAGAGATTTAATAATCTAAAGTAAATAATATTTTTTTTATTAATAAGTAATATCTTTAAAACTTTTTTTTAATATAAAATGATTCTAGAGCTTATATATTATTAAATAATTTTTAATATAAAAAGTTTAAGCTATGAAATCATATACTATATTTGTCAAGGTGCGGGCTGGCAGGTTGGTAAAGTTGGCGCAGCAGGGGCAGGTAGGGCAGGCAGTCTGGCTAGATCAGGCAGGCTAGGTTCACAAGGTCTTTGATGGCTATTACAGTCAGGCTATATATAAGATAATAAATAAGATATAGCTTAAGGAGCTATAATAGAATCTCTAGTATTTAGGCTTTTAAGTAGTCAAAAGATCAGGATTAGGGATAGGTTCTTCTAATTTAGTAATTCTGTTTAGTTCTAGCAGGCTTAGTAGTACCCTTAGGTTTATACTGTGATAATACGCCCTTTTTTTATAGCTGAGCTCTGTTAAGGCTAAAAAGGGCCAGATTTATTAGGGTACTGGTGGTAGTAATTTTGGATAATTTATTTAATATACTTTAGGTAACTAGCAGGCTCAGCGGTAGGGTCTATATACCTAACCTATTTTATAATATATATTAAGTAAGGGCAGCTACAGCCGCGGTGGTCCTAGAATAAATTAAAAATATTTTTAATCTTTTATTTTTTAAGTTTATTAATTTTAATATAAAATAAAAAAAGGTTTTACTAACCAGATAAAATATCTAAGCTAGCAGAGATAAACAGGCTTATATTAAATATAGGGTAAATTTTTATATTAGGCGGGAGTTCTAAGCGGTAAGTATATAGACTAATAATTTTTTTAATATAATATAAATCTAAAATATTCTAATCTAGTTTCTTATTAGATTACAAGATTTTAATATATTAAATATTTAATTAAACTAGTTAGTCTTTTTTAAATAGGCGGGCAGGGTGGTATTAGTAGTCTATCTACTTAATATAATAAGTTTAGGTAAATAATATCTCAGCTTAAGTAAACTTAGTAATCATTTATATTTTTATAATAAACTATTTTATGTCTTATATAGCAGGATAGTTATAAGTATAATAATCTTTTATTAAAACAGGTTTAAATCTTATATATAGGTAGAAGCTATAGTTAACAAAAAACAGGCTAGTCTTAATCAAGTCAGAATATATAATATTTAGAAAGAACTTAGCTAGAGGAAGTTAAGTACTTTAATTATTTTATAAATAATTTATATAAGTTTAAAAATATTATTCCAGTATAATATTTATATACTTAATCTAGCTATTAGTCTCAGAATAATATACAGTTAATAATTTACTAATAATATCCAGGTATTAAATTAGGTATTTCTAGAATTTAATAATAAATTAGGATTTTTAGTCTAATATAATAGTTTAAGACAGGCTATATAGCTTCTATATATGTTATATATATATTATAGCCATAGCGGGCGCATTTACAGTCGAGTTACAGGAGATTAGATACTTTATTTTAATTAAATAGTTTATAATAACTAAAATAATATTATAACTCTGGCTCTCTGGCAGGTGTATAATAAAATCTATAAAGATATTTTATTAAGTATATTTAAATACAGGTAGGGGTTTTAGGATGCCTTATTTAGCTTTTTAGGATAGAATAGTTTAGTAGTAAGTATAATAATTCTGGATTTATTAGACTATATAGTAATATATATTAGGCCAAAAATATTCGCGGGT